TTTAAATTTGTTTTTCTAAAAGTAATAATTTTATATTCATATAAATACATACAATTCCAATATGTGCAGATCATAAGAAATATACATGTAAATTGTTGATGCTAAATAAATGTACCTAATGAACAATTTTTCTTTGATTTATTACATGGGTAAAAAATAATAATAATAATAATTATTATAATGGGTAAAAAAAAAAAGTTTGAAAAATGATGATCTAGATCACATGAAATTTAAATAACCTAGTTTAAATAACTATTTTTCACTTCAAATTTTATCTACAAAAGAATTTAAAGAAGAAACATTGGGATACAAGCACATAAGAAGAATGTCTGAATTTTATTTCAATCTCAAGTGTTTTTTTTGGCCAGTGGATAGAATCTTTGAAGTCAGGTCTTCTAATTGGCACTTACTTGAATGACAGAGAAGAAAAGAATAAATAGATAAATAAATGAATAAATATTTTGGAGTAAAGTGACAACAAAGCCAGACATTGATGATTTCCGGTTGCTAATCTATATTAAGTCATGTCTGGGATTGAGGAAGTGAGTTTTGGTCCTATTGTAGTAGGGGACAGACTGTCCCTCAGGCAGTTTGGATACTACTCGTTCATATTGCCAGCCACATGATGGGTAGAAAGTTGTTAGAATGGAAGAACAGAGTTGTTAGACTGACCTGGCAGAAGTTGTGCCATGTGTCACCTAACCAAAGACCAAGCAAGCAAAGCTCTGAATAAAGCCTCTAAATGGTAGAAACAGGCTTTGAGTTATCATTTCTTGATTCCATGTGAACATGCAGCAGATATTTCCCAGTTTTTGGTGCACACTGATGCAAATGAGAATGGAAATGCCATGTGAGGTAGTCATTGGTCAGTTAGTGGAAAGCTGGGTAAGAGACCTTTAATCTAATCATTGTAAGGTATATACTAGTTCTTAGCCAGCGACTGTGTGAACGTAGGAATTAGTTTGTAGAAATATTCTAAGTAAACATAAAGGTCTGCAATGTTATGCGACTAGCAGTTTTGTTTTTTATGTGTAGCATTTACTACTTTCCACTTCCTGAGTGTTCCCTTAAATTGGGGTATACTAGTAACTCTGTTGGTACTACTGCATGGTAATTACTATTACAGGGACCATTGTAAGTTTATATTTATTATGATTTAAAAGAATAACTATATGCTTTTAAATAAATCTATGATGGCAAGAGTTTCATTTGAAAAATTAGATACTTTTGAATTAGCTTTGTGGAAAGTTATTTATCTAGCTATAAGTGGTTTATGAGACATTTTAACCATGTACTTTTTGAGTGTCCTTTGTTGTGCGTATTTCAAATACAAAGTATCCATCATAATAATGTTTGAAGTAATAAAAATGTCAGATTGACAATAAATCCATTAATTCTTTGGAAATTGCTTTGTTTATTTTACAAAACTGAGCAGATATGTAGCTTTCAAGAAAATAATCTGTATGAAGCGGATGTGCTTTCCTGAAAATGAGAAAATAGAACCTTGCTTGCGTTGATGTTTGTCATGGCTGAGCAGTAAAGCACACTGGATCAAATGATAGTTTCCCCTCCAAACGAAGATGCAGGTTTGATCCTTGCCAGAGAACACATTTTCTTTTAGATTTCTCAAAAGTGCAAGTTGATATATCTAATACACATTATTTAATAAATAAAAATGGGGCATGTATTTAAAATACAAACTATACACTAGAATAGAATTTATAAAATATAAGAACTAGACATGAGTAGTGGAACAAGAACAATCTATTGCTGTAGATTAAATAAAGTGTCCCATTTGGAACACTTTATTTAATCTACAGCGATAGACATACACCTGATGAAGGCTGAATGGCACAGTAGCTGAAATGTTTGGATAACAACAAACATGTGGATAATATGCCGTATGTAAATTATTTACAATTAATATTGTGTTATGAGTTTGCTCTATTTGTTTATTTCATTGAACACTTTGAAATTTAACTTTTTTTATTTTTAGCATCTGATCAAAATAGGAAAACTTCAGCTGCATTTAGACATAATGGCCAAATTTGTATATTTCAGACTCCACTTACTGGACCCAGTAAGTCTGGTAGCTATATATATATATATATATATATATATATATATATATATATATATATATATATATATATATATATGCTAATAATCACTTCCTATTATGCAAGTACATTCAAGGCCTTTCCTGTTTATAACACAACTTTCAATTAGACATACTTCATATAAGCCTTCATGAAAAATTATAACAATTCAAGTCTTTAAAAGTTATTAATTTCTTTGCTAACAGTTAACATGGTAAAATTTTAAGTGCAATGACATTTAATAAAGGCTCTCTCTGAATAAGATTTCTTACAAACATCAAATTGTCAGGTTAGCAATATATTTTTTAAAACTGAATTTTTACCAGAAGCCTTATCAAAATCCAATGAGCAACATTTTTGCAGTGGTTCTGTTCATAATTTCCAAAAAGACAGTATAATGGCTGAGATGAAACTTAAGCAAACAAGATGAGCACACTAGTCCAAATATACAGGCATATAGTAACTGTTATATAGGAAAACATTGTTGCTACTGACACTGTAGTTTGAACACGGATTGCCAGAGAGCAAACACAGGTGATCCCATTTTGAATAAGTAGATCACATGATTGCAAAGGAAATGTATATATGGGAATTAGCGTGGCATCTAATTGATCACTATTTCTACTCTATTACTATACAGATCGCTATTCTTTATACTATTCATTATACTATTTCTCTATACTGATCACTACAGGGATTACTATTTGGTGGTTACTTTTCGAGCGAGTATTATCGAGCAATTACTACTAGTGCAAGTGCTATTTGAAGGTGTCTGACACCAGTATAGTTCAACGGTGTTACTATAGTTGTATCTGTGATTACAAAGTCTCTACTACAACAAGCATTACAAAAGTGACAACTTGTATTTGTTGGCGTTACAAAAGTGGTGATGAGTGTTTGTTGACATCATAAAAAACACTGTTTGAATTTTATGAATTACTTATATAACTAGAAATCATCATGAGTTACCACTGACTTATGCTGTGCTGGATACCTTGCCTGAATGTCAGACATCTGCCTACCCAAACAAATCCTCTTCTTGGAACTTGCATCTGGCAAGTGATCACATGGAGCCAAGTGTCATTGATTAAAGTACCCTCTGACCATCTTCTGGTGTCCATTATTTTGGCTATATGTAATATTGATTATTGTGTTATCTTTGTCCCTGTTCTTGTTTGTTCCTGCTCAGTCTAATTTAATTATTTTATTGGTAAATTATGGTAAACAAGTAAATATTCTAGAGTTCACTTAGCCTATTCTCTCAGCAAACCTTTTGAATTTCTGTTCACACCTATTTGCTAAATGTCTATATGAAGCTTCTCAGACTTCACACTCGAGTATTAAAAGATTGAAAATGCATCAGACAAGATTTTAAATTTTACTGGCACCAGTCTGACTCTGTCGTGTCTGATAACCTCTGAAATAATTAATGTTTTATTGTTTTTTTTTTGTTGTCTTTATTTTTCGGTTTCATCAAGTGGACCTATAATTGTTTTTTCCCAAGTTTTTCAGTGTGTTCAGCTGTAATGCCTAAAAAGTAAAATCTCATGGGAGGGGGGAGCTTTAGCTGAATATTCTTTTTAATTTGACAAACTTCTCATGTTTTTCCATAATGTATTGTATCCAAGATTTTAATAAACTCATTGTGAGATATTCATCTAAATTTTTTTTCCTTTTGCCATTTTTTCTTTTTTATCCATTTTTGCCATTTTTACCTATTTATCCACTTTTGCCATTTTTACCGTTGCCATTTTTACCCGGCCATTTTTTCCGTTGCCATTTTTACCTAAATTCATTGTTTCACACTCTAATGCAGGGTTTGAACACATAAGTACAGATAGAAGCAACACTTGATTAACCAACACTTATATCCACTACACCACTATTCCATCAGTGGCATATTTTTAGAGCTTTTAAATCCAGTGTCAGCTGGTTTTGATATTTGGTTATCATGGTAGATTCTTACTGCTTTTAATAACCACCAATTCTGGAAAATTTTGCCACAAACATCAAATGCTGCTGCTGTTTGAGCAAGTAACAATTTCTGGCCAGGTGAAATTCTTGATAACCTACCTGCTAAATCTATATATATATATTTTTTTTTTCTCTCATGAAATTTTTTACTTTTTTTTTTCCCCAATCTGTGCACAGCTCTAAACACACCTTTTCACCAATGAGTTGACCATCAAAGTCCACCAAAATCATGTGCTCAGTTGTGAATACAGTTAATTTTTATCCAGAGATGTATACATTTGGGGTGAAATGTGCAGCTTCCTAAAACATGTTATGAGACACCCTACCATTTTATTATTGAGTTGGAACAAAAACAAAAAACCACCAGTTCATTATCAATAATGAAGCCAAATTCAAGGAAGATGGAATCATGAAGCTGCCTCAAAAATGGTGAAAGCTAGTGGAACAGAATGGGATATATGGGACTGAATAAATCTATGTACAAATATCTAAATAGTGTCTCTTAAATTCACTTAAAAATGCTATGCACTTTTATTCCAATTCAGTGGTTCATTCTGTTAATATATCACTATTAAGTTTTAATAATTAACACTTAATCTTTTGAAAAATTAAAAGAATACATACTCGTGATACTAATTTTGAAAGATATTGCTACTTTTTGACTAAATGATTTGTTTTGTACAGCTTATCAACTCTTTGCTACTTATTTAAAGCCAGAAAATTGTAAGATTTTTTTTTTTTTAGGTAGTAATGATTTACTGATATGTCTTATTAATTAACCCATAGCTGAGGGAGAAGAGATAGATTCATCCCATTCTCAAGGGTATTTGCACATGTGAATATAACGAACCTAACTAGAATTGGAACTCTGCTCTCCAATTAACAATTCTGAGCCATTATCTATTACACATTATCTGCACATCCAAGCTTACAGCACCTGGTATTCCCAAGCGGTCACCTATCTAGGTACTGACCAGTCTTGACGTTGCTTAACTTTGGTGATCATTTGGGAACTGGTGTTTGAATGTGCTATGGCTGTAAGCCAGATACTTTTTTGAGTATCTTATAATTATGACTTGGTTTATTATTTGCATAATAGTATTTATGATACACATAACTGCTTTTTCCTGTTCATGTACAAAAATGATTCAAATATGTAGATCTTGCCACAGAATTAGGTCAGTCAAATATGGAATACGATAGTGATATTATTAGAGCCCTTGGATTAAACCCGAAGAACTTTATGAATTTGAAACTATAGGAAGAATTAAAACCATCCAGGATTCTTTTATTTTCTGTGTCCCTTAATGATGTAGGTGATCATGGCTCTTCACAACTTCCTATCTTTTGCAGCTCTTAGCAGTATTTGTCTTTTTGCTATCTCTCATTCCTTGTTCTGCCATTTTTTACACAAGCTTGTTTGGTAGGTTTCTCATTGGTTTCCTCTGTTCCTTTTACCATCAATATGTCCTGAGTGTGTCAACTTTTCCAGGCTTTCTTTTCTCATTAAGTGTTCAAGAAATTTTAACTGTCTCTTTATGATTCTAAATATTTTCCTAGTTGTTTACATGCTCTGTCCATGGTATTCTCACAGTATTTCTATAGAACCACATCTCTGTTGCTTTTAAGTTTTTTCTTTATCTGTGAGGAAATTGTCTATCATTCACTACCATATAGGAGAATATCAGCTGAAATATTGCGGAAAATGAAATGTAGGAGTCTTGCTGTCACTTGATCTCCAGCAAACAAAAGCAACTAGTTACTAGTGGCGCGAAAGTTCAACAAGTAAAAAATAATTAAAATGAATTCTTAAAAATGAAAAATCTTACTTGAAGCTTTTTAGTTTTAATTTCAAGCTAATAGGTTTAAATTTAATATTTCCAATAAGCAAAATATTTTTTCTGTATTTCAAAACTAATTTAAATTGACCGGAAGGAGTTTTCGTTTTGAAATTGCTAAAAGCTGTAGCGCCATTTTCATCTGTCATCATGATGTAATTTTCTTTATTAAAAAAAGTCTTTCGAATATTAATCTTTGATCCCCTGTTGATGCAAGTAAAACAAAATTTTTAACCAAAATTTCAAACATTCAAAAACGATAAAAAATTAAAAAAAATAAATAATAATCAAAAAGTCCTTTAGTCTTCTTTTCTCTTAATAATTTGACAATAAACCTGCTTTTTTTTTTTTTTTTTTTTAAAGTTTGGGGCATCATGGTATACTCATTTTTTAGCGAATCAGTGGAAGTACCTACTTTTTTTAATTATTATTTTATTCAAAATTTAAATTCTAGGTACAAAAAAAAATAAATGGTGACTAGCATCTTAAAAGGAAAAAAAAAGAAGAAAAAAACACTTGCTTTTGCTGAAGCGATGTCAGTTTTTAAAAAGCAAAAGCTCTATGGAAAAGTTTGCATTCAGTTTGTTACTGAAATCTGACAGAAGACTATGAAATGAAAATGTGACAATTCCAATATCCAAGATTTTTTTATTCTTTGATTTTTGTATCGTTGTATCTAACCGTCCACCCTTTATCCTTTCTTTCACTATCAGTTCATTCTTTTTCTCTCACTTCTATGTAACAAAACAAAAAATAATCTAAAAACAAAACACAGACATAAAAAAATCAAAGGACTGGTGCCAAAGTAGGGACTTCTCACATAGGTGTGAAAACTTTAGTCTCAAGCTTTACCAGTTGAACTCAAGAATCCATAGAAATTGGGTTTTATTGCTGTAAAAAAGTGACAAATGTGGACTTCAAAGAAGAATTTATTTACCAGCTTTGTTGTTAACGAATGTGTGTTTTTAGTTATTTTCTGTTGTATTTTAATTTTTAGTTTTATTTCTTTTTTTACAAAGTATTTGTATTTTCATTAGAATTTTTCTTACAACTGCAAAAGAAAAAAATATTGCATGAAATTTCTGTTAGCTAAAATTTTAGTTTTTATTTAAGTGTTTTAAAATAAATGAATATTTTGCGTTTTGGAAATAAAATTTAAATGAATCTGAAATTAAAGCTTCAAAAATTAATTTTAAAAAACCTTGTCCTTTATCGCGTTCCTATGGACTGGAGGTAAAATAATAAACTCTGGGATTTTTTTTTAAAGACAAATTAAATAATTATATTATTTATATACTTCTGTTCTTTCCTATTCCGACGAATATGCTCATCTGTGTTTTTTTTTTTTTTTTTACTCACATCGGCTGTGGATCGATTCAATCAACATAAAGAAGTACAATTAATTACAACATGCAACTGAAGAAGGCCGGAATGTACAACGACCGAAACGAAAGTTTAATCACCACATTGTCTGAATAGAAAGAATATTAATAACCAAGAACAGCTTGAGTTGTGAATTACTTGGGAAACATTGCTTTTAACATTTCTTTCCCAAACAATAACTTTATTTTTATAAAAAAAAAAAAAAAATTATTTTAACAATTCTCTTTGAGCAAACTAAACAAAATTCGCTCCTTATATAAAGAAAGTCAAGTGTTAAAAATAAAATTTTAGATTTTCAGTTTGTTATTATCGGCAAATATAGAAAAACAAAATTGGTTTGAAATCAATATTAGCGGTTTATTAACTTGTACTGTTGTTGTTTAATGAGACACCTTTTCATTTTAGTTTTTTTAAATTTTATTTCGTTTTAAAATCTTTTTTAGGCTCATAAAAAAAACTGTTTAATTTTGTTTACGTTCAATACTCACAGAAGCTTGACAAATTCACCTCGTTTCTCCCCACTTTTTTTTTTAACTTCATTGTCTTCCTATTACACAGAATTTCTTTTAATGCCGATTGAATCACTAATTCTTTCGTCTCTTTACCCACTACCTTCTCAGTTTCTTTAAAAAAATATTTTGAAAAATTGGGTCAAGCCTTTTCAATTGAATGTCGCTACGCTCACTCTTCTTAAAGAGACAATTTTTTTCTTTGTAGAAAACTTAATGGCATATAACTTTATTAATCTATTATTATTTTGATACTATTTAAAAAAAAAAAAAAACTTTTAGGCATTTATTTATTTTTTTAAAGTGGGTGAAAATTGTTTTTCCTGGCCCCACGCCACATCGTTAGTTGAGGCCGTGAGGGTCATATATACTTTTAAAAAAATCGTTTCTAGCAAAACTAAAGCCACTTTCTTTTTTAAGTGGTAAAGAAAGTGCCTTTCTAGAAGAAAGATGTGACAGGATCAGCAACCAAATTTCTGAGTAAAAATTTCCATTTTCCGACTAATTACTCGTGAGACAACAATCATACACTGTATTTAAAATAAATTAGTGCAGTTTAAATCGGGAGGCTTGAGAAAAAAAATTAATGAGTGTTGCAAGCTAGCCTCTCTAGTTTCTTAACTAAAAATCAGCCTGTAAAAAAATTAGTAATTCATTTATTTATAAAATCATAAATGAAATTGCAAAGGCATTGGAAAATTCAACTACTAATTTGCTTTTTAAATTAGTTAGTTCTGCTTAGCTTCTTGTTCTTATTGAATATTTTTCAGATTGATAACACTAAAAAAAAAACAGTTGTAAACACGCAGTCGACAAAAATGGATTTTATTCGGAACAAAGTTACAAAAAAGAAATACATAATTTTGCATAATTAAGTTAGAATTAAATTAAAATAGATTAACATTTTTTTTAATTTTTCTCTGAGGAGGCTAAGATTTATAATTTGTGGATGTTTTTATTTACGACAATGAATGTTATTTATCAAAATAAAATAAATCACTCAATTTTGCTTGGTTAATTAGGCGAATTATTATTTTCCATTTTATTATCTTTTTTTTATTTAAATATTAACAATTTATTTTTTTAACATTATTAAGATTAAGAATAATTTCTCATAGATTTTTAGAACATTACGTGTGAGCAGACGAATTTTCGTTAAGAATGAAAAATGGGGTAAAAAGCTGTCTTTTTGGACTCTTCATTGATGACAGTCACTTTCGAAAACAATCAATCAATACTATAAGAATTGAAAATACGCTGACCCAGAAATATCTGTGCAACCATTTTTCAATGAGATTCTTGTTAAATGGCGGTGGCTCATAGGAGTGGGGAAGAAGAGAAGGTACATTAAATTTGAAAGCGGGAGAATCAAATGATTTTTGGGGGAAGTACTGTTGCCTAGCAACATCATGTGCAAATCATCACCGACGAGACATCCAGGCACTTGGTGAAAGGAAGATAAGACCAGAACGAAGAAATAGGCTTTCTTTGCCTGGTCAGGTTATGTCTCTGGATTTCGGGAGTCCTTCGAAGAGGGGAACATTGACATTTTATTTTTGCTTATTGTAGATTTCACAAATAGTTTGAATAGTGTTTTCTGAATGCTCGAACCAGAAAAATAGCTAGTCGACGTGGGGATAGTTGTTAAAAATCGAGGAATCCATCAATACCCCATTATTACATCTGAATAGAAAGATGTTTAGTTTATTCATTTGTTTTTTTTTTTTTTTTTTTTTCCAACTACACCTGGTTGAATAGTTCTCATGAGGTAATTTGAGACTTTTTTAAAGTATCACATACATTTCTCATCTATTCCAATCTAGATGACGTTTTTTTTTTATTTTTTCCACCTACTCATCCTCCGTTTAAACTTTAATCAGTGAACAAAAATCATTAAGAATTGTTTAAATTCTCTTTGCCAAATCACTTTGATTTATTGACACTTGTGGAATATTTTCAATAAGGCTTGATGATGCTCATCAAAAGTATTTATTTCGTGGCCGATAATAAAGTCGCACTTTTTTTTTCTTTTGGTTAGGAAAAAGTCAGTTTATTTCTGTCGGGTACTTCATGAGTTTATGATGGGTCCGCTTGTTTGCAACAAAAGTTTGTAGTAAATCGATCCAACCTCTAGAAAAAAAAAAAAAGTTTTCTAACAATATGGTCACAAATTTGATATATTTCAATTTCATAGTTACCACCGAGTCCCAGTAGCCCATAAAACCCGACTTTATACGAAGAAAGTCTAAAAACTTGACATTAAAATTTGAATTAAAAAGTTTCTTGAATTTTCAATTTATTTATAAGAGTG